TGGGAGTTGAAGTCCACGAGTCATGAGGGGGCCATAGTTCCCCCATGCTGGCTCAGGAATTCTGGGAGTTGAAGTCCACCAGTCATAAAAGAGCCAAAGTTCCCCACCCCTGGTCTAGGCTATCTTTAAAGCCATCTGTGAACACAGCCCTGTTTGTAGCAGTGAATTCCTTGCGTATTAACATTATCTCAGTCACCAGAGAAGCCCAACCTGGTAGATTCTGACAAGATTTGTTGTGATGTTAACATGCACAACTCTTTTTTTTTTCCAGGTGGTCCAGGAGGAAATATCCTTTCCTTCCAGCTTTGTGAAGCTGAGTTACCTGAGCAGCAGAACCTCGGGATATAAAACCTTGCTACGCATCATCTTGACGCATTCTACGATCCCCCCTGGCATCACAAAAGTGCATCTCACTGTCACAATTGAAGGGCGGCTGGCTCAGAAATGGTTTCCGGCTGCCGTCAACCTCATCTATACTTTTGCATGGAATAAGACGGATATTTATGGACAGAAGGTATCCGGCTTGGCAGAGGCAATAGGTATGACTGCTTTAACAGTGCTATTGTGGGTGTGTTATAGGGGCAAGAGCTAGCTCTGCTTTGATGCTAAGTGACTGTGGGGATGCTGCGACGGTCGTAAGTGTGAAAAATGGCCATATGTCATTTTGTTCCATGCCGAACAATCACTGAACAAAGGCTTGTAAGTTGAGAACTACCTGTATTTTGAATTCAGATGGGGAAAGTCTAGAAAGGATACCTTTCCCCTATATTGGCAGTAACCCCTTCATGTGTTTGTGTGTTTGACAAGGGATGCACCAAGGAAACACAAAGCAACCTATATAGATTCTGCTCTGGGTCACATGATGGGGGAGGGGGCTTTATTAGAGAAATCAGGGATTTTATAAGTTTCTGCCCAGCTGATTCTTCCATGGGGATGCATTAGAGGATGTTTCTCTTCTTAAGTCCCAGCCAGATGTGGCACTTCATTTTCAGACTCTACATTTCTTTGGCTGGGTTCTTCCATAATTCCAAAGTTTCTCACATTCTGTTCAATTTTTTTTTTGGGGGGGGTTCACATCAGGGAATAGACAGGCAGAGTTCCCAGGCCATTTTCCATAATTTTTCCAATATCCGTTGAGTTGGGGAAAAAAGATAAAAGAGCACTTGTGGAAGTTTTGAGCTCAGAAATGTTTAATTTGATTGTTTGGGACACCCTTCAGAAGAAGAGCATGCCCAACTTTTGGACATGTATGGGCAGCAGGAGACTGATTAACACTGCTTTAATAGTTTATGCATTTTATTTTAATATTACATGCACCTTCCACTGATTTTATTAAAGCTTCCCATTTCATCCTCATGGTTTTTGTTGGCGTCACCTCTCATCCGTCACAGCCGTGGCCACCCTGTGAAATTATTATGGATCATAAACACGCCAAGCACTTTGTAAATGAAATGTTCCAATTTTGGATCTTCACACAGCTATCTCCAACTCTCAAAATGAATCTTTCGGATTTCACTCAATGTGTTAGATATCTTGCATCGAGTGACATAGTGATGGAGCTCTCGCTTTACATTTAGGAGGCTGAAAGTTTGATCCTAGGTAGCAGGAGATATTTCTCTCTCTGGGCGCAATGAGTAATTGTCTGCTGTGAACTCCACATAGGCATCAGGAAGGGCATCCAGCCGGGAAACACACAAGATCCGTTCAGTCATCCCGACTCCACCCCTGTGCAAGGGATTGCAGGGTCATTAAAAGAAAACAAAATAGGTATATTCCATCATTGATCCTGGAAATAGAGGCTGGGATGCCTATGCCAAAGCAGGCTGTTCCACACACAATGCATTTAATGTACAGGTGGTCCTTGACTTAACAGCAGTTCATTTAGTGACCATTCAAAGCTACAACAGCATAGAAAAAAGTGATGTACAACCATGTCATGTGATCAAAATTCAGACTCTTGCCAACTGACTCATGTTTATGACAGCTGCAGTGTCTCAGTGTCACTTGTTCACCTTTTGGCCATCTTCTGCCAAGCAAAGTCAATGGGGAAGCCAGATTCACTTAACAACCATGTTAACTGACTTAATAATGGCAGGGATTTCCTTAAACAACTGTGGCAAGAAAAGGTTGTAAAATGGAACAGAATTCACTTAACAAATGTCTCTCTTAGCCACAGAAATTTTGGGCTCAGCTATGATTGTAAGTGAAGGACTACTTGTAATTCCAATGCATGAGTACACACACACACACACACACACACACACAGAGAGAGAGAGAGAGAGAGAGAGAGAGAGAGAGAGAGAGAGAGAGAGAGAGAGAGAATTCTCTTACAGCTGATGGCCCATGTCTAACTAGAAGCGAGTTGGATTGCTTTGATTTGCAGGGAGATTTCTCAGTTCCGTGCTCCTCATAGTTTTTCCATCTCTTCTCTTTCTGACAAACATCCCCGCGTGTCGTATGCCGAGCAGATTTGATCATATGTATCCAGCTGCTGAACCCCACATGTCAGCTCCATAGATTAACATTTCTAACTGGCAGTCAAAGTTATCGAGGTCTGGAGAACACACACACACACATACACACACCCTCACCATGCTGTGTCTTGCAGTCTTATTTACCTGTTTCTTTCCTTTGACCTATACCTTAAAGGTATTTGAAAATCAGAATCAAGCAATGTGCTGCCCTCTGGAGGAGACCATGAAAAATGTGACAGGATTATTTTGGGGACCATAAGAAAGGCTGAGCGACAAAGAATGGAGGCCTTTGAACTCTGGTGCTGGAGAAGACTCCTGCGAGTCCCCTGGACTGCAAGGCGTTCAAACCGGTCAGTCCTAGAAGAGATCAACCCCGACTGCTCTTTAGAAGGCCAGATCCTGAAGTTGAAACTCAAGTACTTTGGCCACCTAATAAGAAGGAAGGACTCACTGGAGAAGAGCCTAATGCTGGGAAAGATGGAGGGCAATAGAAGAAGAAGGGGACGACAGAGAATGAGGTGGCTGGATGGAGTCACTGAAGCAGTAGGTGTGAGCTTAAATGGACTCCAGAAGATGGTAGAGGACAGGAAGGCCTGGAGGAACGTTGTCCATGGGGTCGTGATGGGTCGGACACGACTTCGCAATTAACAACAACAACAGTACTCTAGCAAGGAGGAAGGAAGTGTTTGCTTGCTCTTTGTATCAACCACCACAACTATCAAGTTGTTGCAAACGGAGAAGGAAAAAGATGCAAAGCAAAACCAAGAATTCTTTACCCCAGTGTTTCTCAAGTTTGGCTACCTTAAGCCGTGTGAACTTCAACTCCCAGAATTTCCCAGCCGGCTGTGTGTGTGCTGGCTGGGGAATTCTGGGACTTAAAGTCCACACCGCTTAAAGTGGTCAAAGTTGAGAAACACTGCTTTACTGCATTTTTTCTTTCGCTTTTTTCCTTTGTTTATCTGTAATCACATCCTGTTGTTTTATGCAACAATCACAACACCACTATAAACACTTTACATCTCTTGAGTCCTGCTGGTTTCATTGACCTGTCTGCAGAAGGTTGTCGACATTTGGAATATTTATTTCACTTCCTCATTATATTTTTCCAGCATGATCTTTATTTTGCTTTTTAGGAGAACCAGAATCGGCTAAGTGGTCCTACTTGATTGGATCATGTATATAACATTAAAACAATACAGTCAACTGTTTTATAATAATCAAGAAGAAAAGCCCCAGGTCTTGCATGGATTATATAACCACCCATTAAAGATCCTTGGTGCAATAAAGCCAGGAGTTTCTATAACTGCTCCTTGGATGAGGGCAAAGTACTTGTAGATCTTAAATGAGCCATGGTGCACAGTGGTTAGAATGTGGTACTGCAGGCTACTTCTGCTGACTGCCGGCTGCCTGCAGTTCGATTCTCACCGACTCAAGGTTGACTCAGCCTTCCATCTTTCCGAGGTCGGTAAAATGAGGACCCAGATTGTTGGAGGCAAGAGGCTGACTCTGTAAACTGCTTAGAGAGGACTGTAAAGCAATATGAAGCGGTATATAAGTCTAAGTGCTATTGCTATTGCTCTATCTATCTATCTATCTATCTATCTATCATCTATCTATCTATCTATCTATCTATCTATCTATCTATCTATCATCTATCTATCTATCTATGACACTATTAGCACAGGAGGAGATAGGAAGCATTCCAGCATCTGAAACCATAACAGTCCAGAAATTCAGGGAAAGTTGAAAACAAAAGCTCAGAAAGTATGCTGAACCACAGGTAGTCCTTGACTTTGAATCACAATTGAGCCCAAGACTTCTGTTGCTAAATGAAATCATTGTTAAGTGATTTTTGCCCTATTTTACAACCTTTCTCGCCACAGATGTTAAGGGGAATCACTGCAATTGTTAAGTTAGCAACTTGGTTGTTAAGTGAATCTGGCTTCCCCACTGACTTTGCTTGTCAGAAGATTGTACAAGGTAGATCACCTGACCCTGGGACATAAATATGACACAGTTGTCAAGTGTCCAAATTTTAATCGTGCGACCATGGGGATGCCAGAACGGTCATGTGAAAAACGGTCAAAAGCCACTGTTTTCAGTGCCCTTGTAATTTTGGACAGTCACTAAATGAATGGTTGTAAATTGAGGACTACCAGCTCAGGGCGAGAAGCAGCCAAAATACACACACCACATTCCAGATCTAAAAAGGTCAGGAAAGACACTGACGTGTCATCTTTCTAGATTTCTCAAGCAGCTTTTGACTTCCGTTCCTCCTTATAGTCTTTTTCTGGTTTCTGACAGTTGACATTTAACCGGAGTTTCCCACCAATGTGTCCTAATCCCAGGGGAATAAATTATAATTAGCCAGCTGCAATTTAGAGCCCTGATTGAATTAAGAAAGTTTTGACTCAGCACAGTCGGATTTGTAGTGCAGATGTGTGAGATGGTGGGAAAGCTGGAGGCAAATGAGTTGACAGATTATCTCATAAACAGCAATTCAGCCCAGGGGAAGAGACATCTGGGAGAAAGAGTTCATCGAAACCCCACCTTAATTATCTCATTATAAAAGAGGCTTAAGAAAATCCTATTACAGTTTCCTGGATTCTATATGTACACCAGAGCAGAGACAGACAGACAGACAGACAGACAGACAGACAGACGAGAGACATTAGATTCCTTCCTTCCTTCCTTCCTTCCTTCCTTCCTTCCTTCCTTCCTTCCTTCCTTCCTTCCTTCCTTCCTTCCTTCCTTCCTGCTACACAGGGCCTGAAAGCAGGCTGTGCATCTTTCCCATTCTTGTCTTCGCCTAAAATATCAGAGGACCGTATGTCAAACTTTACTGTGATTCAGCCAAGTAAGTCTATTTCCAAACATTTCACAGCTAAGAGCTAATTACCATTTTATGTTGAAGATAGGTAGGTGGTTAACTTAGAACAGAAATGAAATGTCTAATCCTCTCTTTGCAAATTAACCAAAGGAGGAAAACGCACCAAAGACCAACAGCTGGCTATTCCTCATTTCAATAAAACTCAATCTTATACTTGTTGCAACTGGTCGGTTGA